AAAATACCGAGCTAATTAACAGATGAGTCAGTCTGACATGCATGGCAACGCTACGTAGCTCTGGTATGTATAGCACGTCATTCTTTATAGCGTCATTAAAATCATCCTTTGTCGTTTTGTCTTCTTCAATAGTGCACAATTTCACGTGACCTTAGTCAGACGGTACTGGGTCAGATTATTGTTACTAGTTCGCCGGTCCTATCATAAAATAACGTTTCTCTATATTATAAAATTATAATTCTACTGGAACAGAATAAAACAATTGTACGGTATAATTTGTACTGACGCTATCGGCTTCGCGTAAATATTGTTGGATCACCCCTACCCCTCCCCCCATGGACATGTTGTGTATAATATTTGTCCGACCTTTGACGTATATGATATTATATTCTTCATACAGTTTTTTTTTTTAGATTTCAAAGCGAGAATAAATGACATCTTGACAAAAATAAATGTATCAAATACCGACAAACACAGAAATACAGTTATTTGATACTAGTCTATTACGAATGAGCTCGCTGAAATGAATCACTCCGGTTTCTATTTCCTGAGTCATTGTTTTTGTATCTTGCTGTGAACACACCACGCTTACATTACTCGTTCAGTCGATCGTCATGCACCGCTGTTACAAACTCTTCCAATCGGATACCGTACCTCGGTCGGGCTCGTCCGAGCCTCACTGTCCCGTTTTCAGCAGTAATCATCACACTGACCGAGTCCACATCTCTGAACCGCCGTTCTAGTTCGTCTTTTATGGGTTTGGCTATCGGGCGCACTCCTTTTTTGTCCCTTGAAATGGCACACACTATAACGCCCTTCTCTATAATTACTTCCATTCGAAAATCTACAAGTGGTGTCCATGACAACAGTTTATTCGCTTGCCATTCCGCGAAAGTTGCGAACTCGCCTTCGTCTTTTAAAGCGTCCGTGTCAATGTGAACGTTTCTCTCCGGAGTAACATTGACTGGGGGTTCATAATAGTTCAAGTTGTCCTTACGATTAGAATCGTTTCCATTGTTACTGTTGCTATTGTTAACGTTGCTGTTTCGGTGGTTAAGCAAATAACTGTTAGACAAACCGGGGTCGTCGTCGTCGTCATAATAGTGAGATTCACGGCGACTGTTTAATACGTCGTTGTTAAAGTTCACTTGCGGTTGTTGGTGATGGTATTGCTCGCGTGGCCTGTGGCGATTGTTTCGCTTCCCACGACGTCGATGACGACGACGACAGTTCACAACTTCGTCGTCATCTAAATCAGAGTCGTCATCGTCGTAATACTGTGAGTAACGTCGTGCTCGATGATCTGGTCCGTCGTATTCGTAGTGGTACATCCCATCGAAAGGTCGCAACATTCCGCCATCATAGGATGTCGGGTATACGGCTGGGTTTCCGCTGTAAGGACTGGGATAGGGGTACCCGTAGTTGGACGCCATGCCTGGCAATGTTGGATGATTCACGGGCATATAGTGAACGACGGGAATATATCCCAGCGGTCCGATAGGAGGTAGTAGTCCGGGGTGGAAAGAAGGCTGTTGGAAATAATGTGGAATGGAATTTGGCATTAGATGGGGCTGTGGGTATGAAAAGGGTTGCATATATCCTCCATGTCTAAACTGATATGGGTATGTCATTGGTCAAATAAAAACACCGTAGAGAAAGTTACGATTTGTCCACTGTTTGCTCAGTGTTCAAATACTAGTATATACAAATGCCGACCCCAGGTAATATAGTTAATCGTCACTTTGTATAACCTAATATTGTTACCCTAACTTGAAATCCGACAAAACCAGAACGTTCAAATGTCCACTTTAAATATGCGACGATGTGTTTTAGGCACTCACTTTATCTCTGTCTGTTGCGTGGATTCCCCATTCTATGAGTCAGCCTAGATTTCTTCCAGCCGATTATGACGTGTGATAAAAGGAACGTAGCTACATTACAAACATCTAAGTAGTCTTCTGGAAATAATATCCATAAATATCACCGACTCAATGGTATTTCATGTTAGGTTCGATGACCACCATCGTGATTTCTGGAGTCGCGTCGATAACAGGAGAACTGAAATCGTCTTGAGTTAATTGCGCCAAGCGACCTTAGACAGTCACCTGCGATATTGCTTTGACATCCCCAAAGTGAGACGTTTTCCGTTACTAATAAAACCGTTATAAAGCGAGAGCCATTTGATCGATTACTTCTTTAGTTCTTTGGTTGTAAACCTTTATTGCGTTTTACACACAATGGTGTACGTATTATACTGGTCATGACTTTCTGTTAACAATATTTCCAATTCAGGCTTCTAATAGAAGTCACTCAGCTGTGGTAATTACAATCGCTGTCCATGTCCTGTCATCGCTATGTGTCGTTTGACACTAGAGTATAAAAATTGAGGTGGTTCCCTTCGTAACTATGGAGATGGAGTATTTTGTTTGATATTACGCATATTGGACTATGATTTAGCGTAACTTACAAGTTCTGATTTTGGGTTCGAGATGCGCTCATGCGCTTTGTATTACTTATACGTATTATGAATTCATCGTGGTTAGTTATTCCACGACAATAAATATATGTGTGATGCGACCCAATTTTCTTTAAGGTGTGGGTCATATTCAATTGAAGATGCGACTAAAAAAATATCCACAATATTGCTACCATGAACTTTCAGCCAATTCGAAGTTCAACTTTTGAGGTTATAAGATGAAATCATTTTCTCAATTTCTGACAACAGCGGATATGATGTCATACTTTACCCATAATCAAGATGGCGGACTACATAAATTAATGAAAAGTTGAATATCTAGAGAATGAAAAGTGATATAAAAAACTGTGAATTGCATGTTCGTACATTTGCCGAGCTCTTTTATCTGAGAGTATTATGTTGCCTGACTTTTTCTTTAAGATGGCGTACATTTTGTGAGGTCGCCTTTTATTACACTTGCAGTCACACAATATTACTGCACTTTTCATTTAACATTTGAACCACCGAGAGAATTACTACTGCATGCAATATCATTTAATTGGCAAACGTCATTGACTTTTACGATCTAATCTGTTTTCCCGTCTGACAAACGGTGTTCGTCACCTTCTGGCGCCCTCAACGACAAGACAGTAAAAATCGTTTCAATTCCAAAATGGCCATAGCAACAGAAATCTTACCCACACCATGGAGCTTATTTTTTTAGCTCCAGGCCCACACGTACACTAGCAGTATAGTTATCTACAATTACCAGTTTTGGAGGAGGACTTTAGCTTACTTTGAGTTTGGAAAACTGAGCATAACTTGAAGGTTTTGTTGATTTTCTTAAGTTGGCTAAATCTGTACATGGTGGTTCTCTTGATACCTCCATGATCTGTAGTAACCCTAATGACATGAGTCAGTAGCGTCAAGCACAAACCCACTTCAGCGGGCTGTCCACTCAACTTGAACTCATGTTTACATTGAAAGCGTGAGTGTAAGCGCCTTGGTAAAACAAACCACACAAACCACGCCACGCTTAAATGTTTGAATAAACTAAATGCCGGTTAAGGTTTTATTTACGTCTCAATATCGACTACTAAGGCATTCCAAGCATTACATAGTGCATTCGTGTTACACGTTGGTAATGCAATGCGGAATGAAGGTTGGTGGTATGTACCGGGTGCACAGTATCCACTTTCCAAATATTACAAAATTTGCTATTTTCTCTAAACGATGTAATTAACGATTTATACATTGCGATATTATGATGTTGAACTTCCGGCTTCCTATATGACGTCCAGCATTGCTAAGTGACGTGCAGTATATCACATTCCTTTTTAAAAGGACCGTGACAATATGTAGGTTGGTATGAATGTCCGGGTACCTCTATGGGTCGTAGTGTCTAGTCAACACCGCGACGTTAACTATATCAGCGGGTTCGTCTTAAACGACGTCGTCAACAGTCACCGGGACGTCGTGTAATCAGCGGCAGTGCTGTCGAATTAAACTGGCCAACTAAAATGCTAGCGAGATGACCCTTCACTGTTCTCTGGTACTCTGTGAAGTGCATGTGTGTGTTTTAATAAAGCAGGAGCTCATTCGTCCTGCTACGAAACAATACCACGCTGTTGTAATTCCTGCGTTTGCATGGAGCAGTCACGGGACTCAAAACGCATTTTTTTTTTTAATTTAACGTTTAACCGTTTCATCAGAAATACCGAACGTTCAAATAGCATACATCACAATACCGAAATAAACACAATATATGCAACGACCTTAGACAAACAAACACTAGTCTAATGCATTGCGTGGATATGTAATTATGGGTTTCGTGTCTTGGTGTGCATTACCGACTGGTTTGACTTCTTCAGTTCCCGACAGATGTATAACATAACACGTGGTATAGACATACACACACATGATTGCAACAGTCCAGTACGTGCAGGACACTTGGCAACAATTTATAACATTGGTGCGTATTGAAATTGAATGTCATCGTCGTCGGTGGTGTTGTTCAATGTTGTTTATTATTATTATTTTACCCGAGATTCATTAGTGTTTTCAAAAAAAAGTTTCAAGTTCAAATTGTTTCTTTAGTAATAAACCATGGACCTACGTAGAATAAACCAAAATACTCTCATATGTAACCTTGTACATTTACGCCGGAAAACAAAACACATTCCAACAAACCTAGCCAACACAAATGCGTAAGGGGATTAGGATTACTTGTCAGTTCCTGCCGCATTACTGGGGGAAGCGTCATGTGGTTGACCTCCGAGGCGCTCTCCAGTCAAAATACTTTTAACACACCCCTTAAGTGATTAGTCAGACAATGTGAGTATAGTCTCGGGTCCCTTATAAGGCGCACAGATACCTCAGTGTGGGAGGTAAGACTAGTTTACGCATGCGCAATGGTACGATTCACCCCTTATAACCGAGAGAATAAGATATATCGGTGTGCATTTTGACTATTGAGGCGTTGCAAAGCTGTTCTTGGGCAGCATTGTCGATACTTGTAGAAGCCAACACACACTAGTGGAAGAAAATGGCGTACTCAGTGAACGACCCTGTACAAATCCTGGCTCACGTACATTCGTATGCTATCACCCAGGCTTTGGTGGGAGCTTGTCATCTTCGACTGTTCGACCACATGGAAAATGCTGGGATCGCTTCGAAACAACTGGCGGAGAATTTGTACGCTGATCCTGAGGCGATGGAAGAGCTGTTGAATGCGTTGGTGTCTCTAGGTTACGTGGAAAAGATAAATGCTGGTAATCGGACCGTCCAGTATAGGAATACGCCCATCAGCAGCACGTACTTAGTTACCACAAGTGCACAATCGCTGTATCCATACATTATGATCCAGGGCCAGGTCGCTTACCCTGTACAGGCTAACTTCAGACATGCCGTCCAGGAGGGAAAGGCTCAGGTTGAACGAACTTTCGGACACGCCAGATATTTCACCAATATTCTGGCGAATGACCAGAAGAAAGCGATGGGTTTCTTCGCGTCCATGCACGCCCTCTCACGTGTCTTTCACTGCCCCGTTGCCTTGGAAAGCTTCGATTTATCAGCGTATCGTGAGGTCTGCGAATTAGGTGGTGGTACCGGGATGGTGGCCCTGGCCCTAGCTCAGACCTACTCGACGATGAATATCACGGTGTTTGACCTGCCACCAGCTATCGAGGCGGCGGATAAATTCATACCATTATCAAGCAAACCTGAAAATCTGAGATTTCAGAAGGGGGATTTAATGAGGGATTCCCTGCCGTATTGCGACCTGTATGTACTCTCCCATATCATTCACACGTACAGCGAAGACCAGGCGAGTTACATATTGAAACAAGTCTACGCTTCTTTATCCCCGGGCGGCGCTGTTCTAATCCTAGAGAACCTATACAACGATGACAAACGCGGTCCCCAATTTACTCACATGTTTTCTCTGAGTATGTTGGCATTTAGCGGAACGAGACAACGATCGTTTCCAGAGCTGAAGTATCTCCTTGAAAGGCAAGGGTTCAAGAACATTGAAGCAAAAAGAACCGGGTCGCTGTCTGATGCTGTTCTTGCTCTGAAACCGGCTTTACATTGATCAACGTTGAACATCTTCATTATATCCGGACCCTTTCATTAGAATGGAAAACATAAATCCCAATGTCGCCATTACTGCATATACATGCGTTTGATGTGTACGTTCATTCACGTACTCTGCTCTGCATTCACCGCGGAGTGACCTCCAGTAAACCAGACATTCATTCATTTGTTCATTTTCTAATTATCCAGCATACCGTACACTCGTTCACACGTACTCACTTGTGGCCTTAGAATACTGGTGAATAAGAATTGAAATAATTCGATTATTCGATGTAAGGATTACGTATTACACAACGCACCCGTTTCGCGTGGTCGTTTATTAGTAGTTTAAGATATCATGGCGCAGTTCTTCTCCGTCGTTGAGAAGTTTCGCTGAGACGAACACTTGAAATGTCAATAATTCCCCAGGTCAATGCACTTTAATTTTCTAGTCATATTTCACCTGAAACTGTAGTTTGTTTCAGATTTAATGAAATGTAATGTTAATTAATTTAGTAGTTGTCAATTTCCCGTACAGCGATGCATATATTCATAACAGCGTTAATGATTTTTAATTCCCAGGGGGCTGGAACTCAGTCCCGGAACTCAGTAAAGGGGTTAGTTTACATTGCTGTGAGATCTCGGATATGGTTACGGTTTTTAAGTAGATACATGTTTGCCCTGATCGATCACTCGTTCTTGTGCGTGTACAACTTTATTGCGAATGAATTTTAGTACTCGTATGTAGGACGCTCAACCATGCATACTTCTGTGGCTGTTATTAGTATTTCCACTTAGGCACATACACTTTCACGGCGCATGCGCATAATTCTCAGTGTGTAACCATGGAGACAAAACCGGGATGATTACCAGATTTCTGCAATAAATATATCTTAGTTTCTGTAAATCTTATAGTGTTCTGCTATCACGTGCCAGTTTATGTAGTGTGTGAAGGTGCAAGTTACGTAATTGTAAACGTTAATGAACTATATAATGTATGTAGAATCGATTGTGCAGTTCAGACTACCAATTTTTCTCTTTGTTGAAATACCAGTGAAATTACTACTGAATACAAATCAGCAAAAAATCATGAAGGCTACCATTGTCCAAACTATTTTCACATTTCAAACAGGCTGTCAACACTCTATACATAAAAACTTTGCGACTTCATTGCGTCTTGAGAACAGAATCTCAATTTTCAAGTAGCGGCGCTCCCAGCGCTGTGGTATTTTTATTTTCTTAAATAACACGCGGACTCATTACAATGAATACTTTTATCCAACACGAATGACCCATGCGTAATTAGTGCAGAGTGAATACGTGTACGTATCAAACCTTTCAAACATATACAACTTCAGTCCGGGATTTTTACGCGATTTCTGCGTTAAAATTTGTCAGCGCGTTTTGTGCAAATGTCCCACGGTACCTTTAGCAATAACTCTGAAGAGCCCCACCTCATTATAGAGCATCAATGCTTTCCGACGTTTAGGCATTGTTGATAACATGTCAACCTCTCACAGCGAAGCAAAGGCGTCCGTTAACTTTCAATTCCTCGAGTATGCATTGTGATCACTTATAACGAAAGGCATTGAAAGGATGTCTTTCAGACGGTATTTTAGCAAACCTACCACAGACAAGTTGTTAACAAGAATGTGTTCATTTCTTTGTGATGGGGTGGCATTGAGAAAAGGGGTGTGTCGCTTTTTGTCGACCCCCCCCCCCCCTGCTGGTGTGGGGTCAATCTCCGATGACATTGGACGCTGGCAATGAAACAGTATTTGTGGACCATGCTGATGTCGAGGGCCATGGTTACAACACACTGTCACCTGTGGTATCAGCTATGGCTGAATGTCTGCTTTCAGTTGTCCGCATCAAATACCACATGAGCATAATATAGGATAGTCATTTTTACGGAATGGCAAACAAGCTACACTTCTAGGAGTTTGTGTAAATCAAAAGCAATTAGTCGCCGTAAGGTGTTTAAAATGATTGAGAGTGTGAAAAAGAGGATGACCTTATTCGGACCTTTTTCATCGATCTTTCATGATAAAGAATACTAAGTACTAATATTCACCCCATACCCTAAAAGTGAACGTGCTTTTAGCTTTTGGCCGTTCTAGATAATTTGGTGTTGCCTGTTTGACTGCGGATCCGTTGATCCCCCGAAGTGAACGAAACACGCTACAGCTGTGCGCTGCTCGAAAGGGCGTGCATACCACATGCGGATGAAAAGTTCGGGCTCGGGGCCGAGGTTTCACATTCCATCCCACCATGCACTTAAACACATATAACTTTTGTTTTCGTTTTCTCACCAGTTAATAGAAAGTATAAACACTGGTTCACGAATGTACGTGTATGCGTTTTTAATTTGAACGTTCGCCCCAGGCTGAGACTTCAATCGATGTCTTGATGTTCTGATTTATTTCCTAAATCACGGTGTTAATACCGGATATGCAAATGAAGCTTTCAAGCTGCATACTCATGCATGATGTGAGAGACGAGATAGCAACCCTCCGCATAAGCAAACCTCAAACTACAATGAAAACAATAACGAAATTTAGAATAACGACGTGAACATTTGCGTGCAAATCAATTTATATCCATTGACAAGTGTTACGGAGCACGAAAGACGGCTGCTTTATCGGTGTCCAATGAATCATACTCAATCAGCCAAGATGGAACGAGGCGCCCTCTATTGATGTACATTGATTCACGCTGACGATGATGGCGCCGTTGCTTCAAATACTAGTAGTAAATAAGTTTTATCACTGTACTGTAGTTATACTTTACCAGAATATGACCTGTCCGCACATTCCAATCCCCCGTTGTTGGATTATTGTTTAGAATGGAGATTATAAACAAATATTACAAGTATTTTATAAATAGATTGTTTACCTATTGTATTCAGTAGTGGCAACTTTTCAATTGGCTTTAACCGTGAAAAACATCCCTGGTAATCGCGTGATCGTGCCAACGATTGCAGCGATTGGCTGGTCGCATGATTACTTTGCCACGCCTTAGAGATTTCACTTTTAATATAGAGTTTGCAAACTTTGGCAAGGAGAGAGATCGGCGCGACGAGGGGGTTACCTTGGCTGATTGATTGGGAGAATAAAGCTGGACTATCTGTAATGAACTTATGTGTATTCATTTGGGTCGAGTCTGTACCTCTACGTGTAAGTGACATCAGCCAAGCGAGACGAAGATCCCTGATCCCTGACATGACATCTGTATCAGTTGGATTTAATATGCATCATTTCGTTGTTATTATATCAAATATAATAGTTATTGAATACGAGTGTTGTCGAATCGAATGGTACGTTTTACTGATGATTGCTTTCGTTTGATGCATGATGATTCCGATGCTTAATTTTGCTCATGTATGTATTATACTACATTCGAGGAGAGAGATGACACAGGAAAACTGAGCAACAATTAACGGGGAGCAATATGTGTCACCTCTTGTGACAAATATTCACTTGTCGGTGAATATTGTTCCAGAGGAGGAGAGGGGAGGAAGTATTGACGTTGCCCTCAGTTGTGGCTACAATTTCTATAATGCTTGAAAAAATGGCTAGAAGTCTGTTATTTTGAACTTGGTTTTCGAAGGCCATAACACTTGTTATTTAGTTTTTAAAGTGCCCGTGGATTTCAGACAGTGGTGATTATGATGATGTATTACGCCACTTTCACTTTCAGATCACGTACTAGTATATAGTGAAAACAAACACCGCGTTTAGCATGAATGACACTCATCGCATTCCGTTATTTGTTCTAAAATTGCAATTTGTTTATTATAATATTTGATCAATTTTCCCCCAAATACAGCGCAGAAACAGCATTCTGATGTACTGATCCACAGCATAGTGCTGTTTAATGTCACCAATGAACTGTAGTTCGATCATGGTTGTATATTCTGAGAACTAGCCCCGCTCGCGTGGGAATTCAGTGTTCCAAAGTATTTGATCCTAATATATACTATTTAAAAATGAGATGTTCGTAAATAAGAAAAAATATGTAAATTGATGATTGTTGATTGGTAATAAAGATATGTTACACGCACTAGGCTATGTATTATCATACTTGAAACGCGCGTCAGATGGCCATAGCGTGTCATTCTTAAGAAACAAGCGTCTACCCATGAGCCTTCGCGTTTTTAGCGTGTGTTGTTATCGTCGCTTAGGGCCCAATTCCCACTCGTGCGCAGGGGACGACCCCCCGCTTTAAATACGGACATTACGTTTTCCGTGCGGCCTGAAAAATATTTACTATGTTATCACAACGCACGTTAAAATACGCCCATAGCGTCGTTCTATGTATGACCACTAATCGATACATTTACCGCATCTTATTAAACGTTATACTTATAACTATACTTTATATACTATATACTTTGATCCAGACATTCTATTAATCACACAGGTATATCTAAACCAAATATCGACGTGCGGGCAGTGTTATTTTCAAATTAAACCATTCAAAAATCGCCACTCGAATATTCAACAACATTGCATTGTTATTTTTACACTGAGAATTTGCACACGGATTTGCATATCAACTACGTAGTGTCCTTTGAACTTCAACGAAGAGCGCACCTAGCTTGGTATCTGGTTCTCAGGGAATTAGGGAATTAACGAAATTTGCTGCGAAGTCATCTGTATTTATTCTCAGACTACTATATATGTTTGGTCACAACGAGGTCACGTGGTGGTAAATATTCAGTCGACAATGAAAGCTCAGTGAGATCGATTGCGCCTAGGCACAGTTCCCCTATCACTGTCTATGATAGAGAAACTGTGGCCTAGACCAATAATGTCCCATTCGATTAACTATATATACCTATATACTGAGCTTCGTTTCGGTAACTACTTGATTATTATTTTATTGCACGTATAGATCGCAAAACATGCGTGATAAACAGGGCATTACTCGGTAACCTTGCCTCGACTTCCAAACCTCGTGTACCACGCGCACAGTAGATGCCGTTAATGTTTCTTATGCTGCCCTCATCGGTATTTG